CATCCTTCTACGCCCTCATCCAGGTCATTTATAAAAATGACAAACAGCAGTGGCCCCAAAACAGATCCTTGAGGTACACCACTAGTAACTGAACTCCAGGATGAACATTTCCCATCAACCACCACCCTCTGTCTTCTTACAGCTAGCCAATTTCTGATCCAAACCGCTAAATCACCCTCAATCCCATGCCTCCGTATTTTCTGCAATAGCCTACCATGGGGAACCTTATCAAACGCTTTACTGAAATCCAAATACACCACATCAACCGCTTTACCCTCATCCACCTGTTTGGTCACCTTCTCGAAGAACTCAATAAGGTTTGTGAGGCACGACCTACCCTTCACAAAACCGTGTTGACTATCCCTAATCAAATTATTCCTTTCCAGATGATTATAAATCCTATCTCTTATAATCCTTTCCAACACTTTACCCACAACCGAAGTAAGGCTCACTGGTCTATAATTACCAGGGTTGTCTCTACTCCCCTTCTTGAACAAGGGGACAACATTTGCTAGTCTCCAGTCTTCTGGCACTATTCCTGTAGACAATGACGACATAAAGATCAAAGCCAAAGGTTCTGCAATCTCCTCTCTAGCTTCCCAGAGAATCCTAGGATAAATCCCATCCGGCCCAGGGGACTTATCTATTTTCACACCTTCCAGAATTGCTAACACCTCCTCCTTATGAACCTCAATCCCGTCTAGTCTAATAGACTGTATCTCAGTATTCTCCTCGACGACATTGTCTTTTTCCTGTGTGAATACTGATGAAAAATATTCATTTAGCACCTCTCCTATCTCTTCGGACTCCACGCACAACTTCCCACTACTGTCCTTGACCGGCCCCAATCTTACTCTAATCATTCTTTTATTCCTGACCTACCTATAGAAAGCTTTAGGGTTTTCCTTGATCCTACCTGCTGAAGACTTCTCATGTCCCCTCCTGGCTCTTCTTAGCTCTCTCTTTAGGTCCTTCCTGGCTAACTTGTAACTCTCAAGCGCCCTCACTGAACCTTCACGCCTCATCTCTACATAAGCTTCCTTCTTCCTCTTGACAAGAGATTCAACTTCTTTAGTAAACCACGGTTCCCTCGCTCGACCACTTCCTCCATGCCTGACAGGTACATACTTCTCAAGGACACGCAGTAGCTGTTCCTTGAACAAACTCCACATTTCAATTGTGCCCAGCCCCTGCAGTTTCCTTCTCCATCCTATGCATCCTAAATCTTGCCTCATCGCCTCATAATTGCCTTTCCCCCAGCTATAACTCTTGCCCTGCTTTATATACCGATCCCTTTCCATCGCTAAAGTAAACGTAACCGAATTGTGGTCACTATCACCAAAGTGCTCTCCTACCTCCAAATTTAACACCTGGCCTGGTTCATTACCCAGTACCAAATCCAATGTGGCCTCGCCTCTTGTTGGCCTATCTACATACTGTGTCAGGAAACCCTCCTGCACACATTGGACAAAAACTGACCCATCTGAAGTACTTGAACTATAGCGTTTCCAGTCAATATTTGGAAAGTTAAAGTCCCCCATAACAACTACCCTGTTACTTTCGCTCCTATCCAGAATCATCTTTGCAATCTTTTCCTCTACATCTCTGGAAATTTTCGGAGGCCTATAGAAAACTCCCAACAGGGTGACCTCTCCTTTCCTGGTTCTAACCTCAGCCCATACTACCTCAGTAGATGAGTTGTCATCAAACGTCCTTTCTGCCACCATAATACTGTCCTTGACTAACAATGCCACACCTCCCCCTCTTTTACCACCTTCCCTGATCTTACTGAAACATCTAAACCCCGGAACCTGCAACAACCATTCCTGTCCCTGCTCTATCCATGTCTCCGAAATGGCCACAACATCGAAGTCCCAGGTACCAACCCATGCTGCAAGTTCACCCACCTTATTCCGGATGCTCCTGGCATTGATTTAGACACACTTCAAACCACCTTCCTGCCTGCCAGTACACTCCTGCGACCTTGAAACCTTATTTATGACCTCACTACTTTCAACCTCCTGTACACTGGAGCTACAATTCAGGTTCCCACCCCCCTGTTGAATTAGTTTAAACCCTCCCGAAGAGCATTAGCAAATTTCCTCCCCAGGATATTGGTACCCCTCTGGTTCAGGTGTAGACCATCCCATTTGTAGAGGTCCCACCTACCCCAGAATGAGCCCCAATTATCCAGGTATCTGAATCCCTCCCTCCTGCACCATCCCTGTAGCCACGTGTTCAACTGCTCTCTCTCCCTATTCCTCGCCTCACTAGCACGTGGCACGGGTAACAAACCAGAGATAACAACTCTGTTTGTTCTAGCTCTAAGCTTCCACCCTAGCTCCTTGAATTTCTGCCTTACGTCCCCATCCCTTTTCCTACCTATGTCGTTGGTGCCGATGTGGACCACGACTTGGGGCTGTTCCCCCTCCCCCTTAAGGATCCCGAAAACACGATCCGAGACATCACGGACCCTGGCACCTGGGAGGCAAAACAAGTTAAGTTATCCAATCTTTCCTAACAATGAAGCAACATCTTGGTAAAATTTTTCTGTACCCTGTCCAAAACCTCCACATCCTTCTTGGAGTCTATCTGTCTGTCTGTCTGTCTATCCATCTATCTATCTACAATGTCGTGTTGATTGGACAGATTCTCCAGATAATGTGTGTGACAAACAGGTTTCTGAGATGCTAGATAAATTTCATTTCCAGTGATTTGGGAACAGTTCATCAACAAGAACAATAAAATTGGATATTGTCTTGCTACTATTTTAGTATCAATAGGCCCAGTTGGCCAGGTGAAAGTTTCTAAGCCATCAGTGATGAGGAATCAGATCTCAGACATACTATACGGAACCCCCAGATGCTTCTTGTAAATAGCATTGGCTATTTAGCCCCTTCACAAAGTGCCAGCTGGATTTCTTCCAATTACCTTGTCGAATAGATTAGTGTGAATTAGAGGACAAATATTAGATTTAAACTATTAAATGTTGACCTTACTTTCTGTCTTTCAAATGTCACTTAACGCTTTGTTTAAAAAAACAAGATAACACATTTTACAAAGATTTTTGGCAAATTGAAAGTTAATGACAGATTAACTGGGATCACAAACAAATAAATTGATCCTGGTTGCAATTAAATATCTCTTGATAACACCCAATATCTATTCAGCACTGTATGAAGTTCTGGAAAAAAAAAGATTGTCTATAAGTGGGAAATGTAAGGTAAATAAGATATGGAACTTTCTTGAACCCACTGCACTTGAATATTCTCAAGAGTTGTGAATCACATTCAGCTAAGGACTTTTCAAGAATTGACAACAGCTTTACCCCGTGAGCTTAATTATTTTCTAATTAATCACGTCAAAGACATCGTTATACATCTATAGAGCTAGAGAACCAGGGAGCTCGTAGCCCAGCAGCAGGGACACTACCACTCTGCCACTACAGTCCCACAACCCTGTGAGTTTAATATGAGCTTTATTTCTTAATAAATCTTTCAACAGTCTGCTGCCATTTTGTGGAGAAATTAAAAGATCATGATATCTTTGCATGAAAGATAAAATATTTTTTCTTCTGATATTCTGTGGTATGGCCTTAAAGTTGGATGAATGTCCTGATGTCAGAATATGTCTTAGATTCTATTGCTGGAAAAGATGAATGGCAATGTTTTGGATGTTGGGTGATATTTTTGCAGATCTCCACATCTATCATCATTCACAGACATTGGCATTTCTAACTGAACATGAAGTTTGCCTGTTTTTGCTAACTCGTCCCTAATTATAAGGAAAGACGACTTTTACAGTTGATGGTCAAAGGGCAGTATTGCACTTGTGGGAACAGGTAGGGGAATGCATGGAGATTCAGACAAAGAGAGAAAGGGAGTTCTATGATGTGAAATGTTTCTAATCATCTGCGGTCCTTACTCAAAACTCTATGAATTGTGCAGTAACATCCATTAACAGGGTGAATCGAACCTGTTTTGTTTAATTTAGTTCTGTCAGTTTTTTCTAATTCCAAAATAGGGGTGAGCTTATTGACATGGATTGTCATAGAAGTCAACAGCACAGAAAAGGCCCTCCAGCCCATTGAGTCTGCTCCAGTCAAATGCAAACACTATTCTGATCATATGTTCCAGCACTTGGCCTATAGCCCTGTATGCCTTGCATTTCAAGTGTATATCTAAATTCTTCTTAAATGTATGAAGGATTCTGCTTCTGCCAAATTTACATGCAATGAATTCCAATTCCTATCACCCTATGGATGTTCCTCCCCCACCCCTCATATCCCTTCTAAATCATGCCTTAAATCTATGCCCCGGTCATTTATCATTCCGCGAAGGGGAAAATTTCTTTCCTGTCTACCCTATCTATGCCACTCATAATTTTATGCATCTAACTCATGTCATGTCTCACTCTCCTTTTCTTCATGGAAAACAACCCCAGTTAATCAATCTCCCTTCATAACTAAATATCTCCAGCTCACTAACATCCTGGTATACCTCTGCAATGCAGTCATACCCATCCTATAAAGTGGATTTCAGAACTGTGCACCATACTCTAGCTGTGGCTTAACCAATGTTTTGTACCGTTCCAGCATAACCTCTTAACTGAAAAGTTTTGAAGTCAAAGATGGTGAGATATGGAGTGATACGTTATTGCAGTGATTTTAAACATTGTAAATTCACGTTTGAAGAAATAAAGGAATTTAAATGACCGTCTACAATGCAATTATTATTTATGAAGACAATGACAACTGTCATGTTGTCCTTTGCTAAAAAGTTATATGTTGCATTTATCCTGCGCCAAATGTGTATCTCTAGATAGAAACAAAGTCCAACTTTAAGTTTAAATAATTGCAATTAGATGAAATGGAATGTGAAACTTAAATGTAACCACCAGCTGCATCAGCGAATTACAGGCGGCACTTACAACCTCGCCCCTTCCTGCCAACTATTTAAACATCACTCATCGGAACTACATTACAACAATCTAGGAGCTCGTTTGCTCAGTTAATTGTCGGAAGAACACTTTCCTTCCAAATGATAAGAAAGATGAGGCCAACAGTTTTAATCAGTCTGCTGCTGACTTTATTATCCCGTAAGTAATTTTTATTTTCCAGGTTCTCACTGTTAACGCAGTGTTAATAACGTAATGATTGGGTCTAGAATGTTACAGAGTCAGGATTCATTTCAGCCAGATTAACCTTCCGTTTTCTTGAAAACTTTATTTTCCAGCTGCTCAGTCAGATTTCGTGCTGATTCAGCCAGAGGCAGAGACCGCGAAAGCTGGCGGCTCCCTGACAATTCGGCGTGAAACAAGTGGTTTTGACCTTGACAACACGTACATGAACTGGTTCCGACAGGTGCCTGGGCAGACACTGGAGATTTTAGTTAGCTACTATGATATAGAATTGAACTTGTACGCTCCGCAGATTCAGAATCAATTTACTTCATCCAAAGATATTTCAAACAACATTTTTTTCTTGGAGATGGAAAATCTGAGGACGGAAGACTCCGCCATCTACTACTGTGCAAGACAGATCTACACATCCGAATGGGAGTCCGCCAGCGGCTTTTGGGGACCAGGAACCATGGTGACAGTGACTGAAGGTTAGAAACATGCACTACTGCAGTGCTGATGGTGATTGTATTTTTTTTTATTTTATCTTTGTTTTACAATTTTAGTTATTCGTCGTTTCATGAATTGTGTGTTTGTTGGATTTGGTTGAGATTCTTTGCAATATTACAAATAATTCTTCTGCAAAGGAGTTGTAGAATGCACAACTGAGAGTTAATGCAGCCCTGCTACTCCTCCGCTATTTTGGATGATTGAGGAAAGGTTGAGGAGATTGAGGAGAGATGGAGTTATGAGGAAAGATGGGAAATCTTGGTTAGTTTCCACTTGAACGTCAAAGGATGAGGGGCAACCTGCTAAAAATAAAATTTTGAGATGCACAGTTAGAATGGATAGGCACAATCTTTTTTTCCCAGGATAGAAATGTCAGGTTTATGGTAAAATGGTAAGTTTAAAGGAGATGTAATATTACACAGATTGTGGTAAGTGGCTGGAATGCGTTGCCAAAGGAGGCAATAGAGGCGGATACAATAGCAACATTAAAGAAGCATGTTGACAAATATATGAAAAAGGCAGGGAATACAGCGATATGGACTATGTAAAAGGAAATGTTTTTTAATTTAGAAAGATATCATGTGTTGGCACAGTCATGGTCGCCTGAAGGGCCTGTTCCGGTGTTGTACTGTTCTTTGTTCTTTGATTATAAATCTGTAAGTTTTAAGACAGTCATGATAATGTTCAGACCAACCTCATATGGAAGTGCCGAATTGGGGGAAAGCTAATTGCTTCAACATTAGTCAGGAACTGGAGAAATTAGACTGGGGCAGTTGTGTGAGGGTAAATCCACAGCTGACATGTGAAATACTTTAAAAGGCCCATTGATCAGACTTCAAAAGCTGCATGTTCCTTTGAGGATTAAAGAAAAAGGATGGCAAGATTTGGGAATCCTGTTTCAAGAGTCAAGGAGAAAAAGGAAGAATATTTATTTTTGGGAAACTGAAGTCGGACAGGGCCCTTGTGGAATAGAGAGGAAGCAGGAAAGAAAAATAAGCAGCCATAAAAGGGTCTAGGCCCGAAACGTCAGCCTCTCTGCTCCTATGATGCTGCTTGGCCTGCTGTGTTCATCCAGCCCTGCACCTTGTTGTCTCGGATTCTCCAGCATCTGCAGTTCCTACTATCTCTGATTCAATTTCAGCCATAAAATGTCCTTGGTAAGTCAGATTAAGGAGAATCCAAAGCATTTTATACATGTATTTGGAGTAAGACGGTAGCTAGGAATATAGTAGGTCCACTCATGGACAATGGAAGGAGTTTATGTGTGAAGCTAGAGGAGGTGGTGAGGTCCTCAATGAACACTTCACATCTGTATTAATCAACGAGAAGGACACAACTAATGATAAGATGAGGTTGAGGTATATTGATATTCTAGGGCATGTCGATATGATGAAGGAGGCGTTGTTGTGTCTCTTGAAAGCATTAGGTAGACAAGTCTTCAGAGCCTGATGGGATCTATCCAAGGATACTGAAGGAGGCAAGGGTGGATATTGCTGGGGTCTTGACAGAGTTCTCCATTTCCTCTTTAAGCGCGGACAAGGTTGCAGAGGACTGGAGGATAGTGAATTTTGTTCCTTTGTTTAAGAAAGGGAACAGCGATAACCCAGGAAATGATAGACCATTGAGTCTTCCATCAATAGTGGGGAAATTATTGGAAAAGTCTTTTGTGGAAAATTATTTACTTGCATTCGGAAAAGAATGAACTTACTAGGAATTGTTATCATGGTTTTGTGTGGAGAAGATCTTGTCTCTCAAATTTGATTGAGCTTTTAATGGAAGTGACAAAGATGACTGATGAGGCCAGGGCAGTGGATATTGTCTACATGGATGTTACAAGAGCATTTAACTAGGTCCCTCATCGTAGGCTGTCCAGAAGATTGGGTCACACGTAATCCACAGTGAGTTGGTAAGTTGGATACACAATTGCCTTAGTTATAGAAGACTGGATGTAGTTGTGGAATGGAGTTTTTCTGACTGGACGTCTGTAACTGGTGATGTTCCAAAGGATCAGTGCAGGGACCTCTATTGTTTGTAATATGTGTGTATATAAATGATTTGGATGAAATGTAGGTGGTCTGATTAGTAATATTGCAGATGACACAAAAATTAGTGGAGTTATGGATCATGAGAAACATTGTTACAAGGTACAGCAGGATATAGATCAGTTGGGAATTTGGGTGGAGAAACGCAGCTGGATTTTAATCCAGACAAGTATGAGATGATGCATTTTGGGAGGTCAAATACAAGAGGAAAGTATTGTGTAAATGGCAGAACTATTGGAAACATTGATATGCAGGGCTTTTGGAATGCAAGTCCATAGTTCCATGAAAGTGATCACATCAGTGCATAAGGTGGTAGAGAAGGCATATGGCATGCCTGCTTTAATCAGTTGGGGCATTGAGTATAAAAGTTGGTAAGTCATGTTGCAGCTGTACAAAACTTTAGCTGTATGAAACTTTATACACTTTGAGTGTTGTACATAGTTCTGTTTGCCACACTACAGAAAGGATGTGGGGCTTTTGGAGAGGGTGTGCAAGATGTTTACGAGGATGTTGCCTAGGATGGAGTGTATTAATTATAAGTATAGTTTGGAGAAACTTGAATGAAATTCATTAAAGCGTCAGAAGCTGAGAGGGTGACCTGACGAAAGTATATAAGATTGTGAGAAGAATCATTGGATGGATAGTCGGAGCATTTTTCCCAGGTGGAAATGTCAAATACTGGTAGGTGTAGGTTTAAGGTGAGGGAGGGAGGAAAGTTTAAAGAACATGTGTAAGACAGTTTTATTTTGCCCAGAGAGTGATAGGTGCCTGGAATACTCTGCCAGGGAAGTGGTAGAATCAGCTACGATAGCCATATTTAAGAGACATTTAGACAGACTCATGAAAAAGTAGGAAATAGAGAAATACAGACAATATGCAGGCAGATAGGATTAGTTTAGATTGGCATCACGGTTGGCACAGAGCTTGTTCCAGTGGTGTTCTGTTCTACACTTCCACACTTTGTGAATTGACCAGCCCTGCACAGGCAGAATTTGTATCCATTTGCTGGGCACTTGCATCCCACACACCTTTATTCTGTTCTGATTCATGATGGAAACTTTTGTGCCCATTTGTTGATTGCAAACATTCTGTATTTTTATGGATGCAAAACGTATTATTGCATAGTTGAAATAGGCATGAGTAATTTTAAGTCTTTTGCGAAATGTTTCCGAAAATATATTCTCCCATGCAGACTGCTGATATTGTCAGTAGTAGGTGCTCATTTGAAATTGCCAGCAGAAGGGAAGATGCTTTTGTGGCACAAAGATTCTGCTTGAATAAAATGTCAATTTTCTCTTAGTGAACTCTATGCAACATTAAAGATGGCTTTAATTGTTTGGATTGCAACAGTTGTCAATCCCAAAAAAGATTTTCTTTCCAGTTCATGTGATATATCACAGATCTGTTCTCCACATCCTGAGGTTTGTGCATAAATCACAAACAGCTGATCTCTAACTCTGGGCTTAGTAATATTTCTAACAAAAGTATAGTTTTCAGCATTGCCCTTACTAAGAATAGATCAATATTCTAAATTGATGAATTGAATGTAAATTCTATGAACTGCTATGGTGGGATTTAAACCAATGCCCAAGTGCACTTGTCTGGCCCCCTGAATTCCAGCTTCTCCTACACCCTATTAATCTTGTACTTGCTGGAATTTCATGAATACATTCCCATCGGTTGTACAAACTCTTAATAGGAGACTTTCATTGTAACATTGATATTAAATTATACCTTAGACAAAATGGGACAACTATTATGTTGGAAACAAAAATCGTTGGTGGTAACTTGTTTAATTGGTTGTTTATTCACAGTGCCTACCTCTCCCCCTATGCTTTATGCCCTGTTCTCCTCTTGTGAAACTACTCACATGGATGACACGGTGACCTATGGCTGTTTGGCAATGGATTATAGCCCCAAAATCACTGGCATTACCTGGAAAAAAGATGGGAAACCAATCACCACTGGAGTGAAGACTTATCTCTCAGTGAGAAACAAGCAGGGTACTTACACCCAGAGCAGCACGTTAACCATGTCTGAAGTGCGAAGCAACAACATTTGCTGCCAGGTTCAATACAATGGATCGAATAAGATGATCAAAATGCCAGGTTAGTGTTATTGGAAGAGGAATTGGGAAAGACATTGAGGGGATGGACAAATATTGATAATTAAACAATATATATTTCAATTGTTCTAAAGCACTGGCTAATCAAGTCTAGGATTATGTATATTTCAGGTCTTCATGTTACACTTTGTGCTGTACATGCATTTCTTGTCTCTATGTCACTCTCAGCAAAGGGTATACACCTCCAAATTTGAAGAACAATACCAGAGCAGTAGAAAAGTTGCAAATTTTATAAGAATGATATGAGAATTAACATTGTAAGCAAAGAAATAACTCCCCTCCCTTTTCTATGCAAAAGGAAATGCTGAAGATGGTCTTCAAAATTAAGAAAGACATAGATGTATTCAATCAAAACAGGAGGTCCTGTATACAATATGATCACTAAGATACCAGTGGGAAATTCAGAATCAGCTAAATTATTCAAATTGTGAGCAGAATCTGTAACTTGTCATAGCTGTATCAAGAGGTTTGAGAACACCCAAGACAAGAAAACAGCCAACTTGATTGTCACCATATCTACAATCGCTCCCTCTACCACCAATTCACCTTAGGAACAATATGTGCCAACTAAGATTCACTGAACAAATTCACCAAGACCTTTTCATCTGCATTTTCTAAATCCATAGACATGACCATATAAAAGGTAATACATTGGAACACTACCACCAACAACTTCATCTCCTAGTCACACATCTTTCAGATTTAGAAATATATTGCCATTCCTTCAATGTCACTGGGGCATAGTCCCGCCCAAATAGACTTCAACTGTTCAATAAGGCAGCTCACAATTGTTTTGGGAGCAAATAGTGATGGGTATTGAGTGCCGGCATAGCCAGCGAAGCCCATATCCTCTGAATGAATAAAAGATGTAACTAACAGTAAAAGAAAAATGCACTCAAGAAAAATGAAAACAAAATAGTGCAAATATTCAGCAGTTCACACAGCATCAATAGAATCAGTAATGCAATTATCATTTCAGTTTTGCGACCTTTCATTAGACCTGACACAGACCAGAAAGATTAATTCAATTTTGCTTTTCACAGATACTGCTCGACCTGCTATTTCCAAAACTTTTGATTTTTATTTCATATTTCTAGCATCTGAAGTATTCTGTTCTTCAATTATGTATATAAGGGGATTCTGGACCAGTAACTAAGAAATGACATGAAATATTTTAATCTACAGCAGGAGAATTTGCATGTGGAGCATTAACTCCATTTGAGGTGAATGACATTGTGTCAGGTAAACCCCATTGTTATTCATCGACAATGGCATGACTATGATGCCAGGACATTTCATACTATTTCTTGTGCATTGACAACCAACTTGGAGTAGTTGTGAAGTAAATATATCTCTGCTTCTACAATGGGACTGCCCCCCGTGAGGCTTGGATAAAAACGTATGCAAAATGAAATGCATATTTTCAGGTGCAACAGGAGTACAGTTCTTTTTATTCTGTTATGATTGCCATAGTGATGAACATAAGTAGGAGAATTGAGTTCCAAGGTGTGTTCTGTACAAGATCAGCCACGTTCGTGTGAGGAATTTCCTAACATGCACTGACACTAGTGAACATTTTTCACCTACTATTTTGGAGAGATGAAGAGATAATCTGAAGGCATTATGTCTCAAGACATTTATAGGAAGGAGTTTCTACTCTTCTACTCTACGTAGGAATTATTACTCTTCCCAGTAATGATATGAAGCTATGAAGAAAGGTTGGATAGCCTGGGTTTGTTTTCACTGAACGCAGAAGGTTGAGGGGTGACCTCATAGAAGTTTATAAGATTGTGAATGGCATGGATGGAGTGGAAAGTATGAGACTTTTTCTCAGGGTGAAGGGATCAATTACTAGGGGACACAGATTCAAGATGGGGGGTGGAATTTGTTTAAAAGACATGTGAATGGCAGGATTTTCATACCAAAGACAGTGAGTGCTTGGAATGCGCTGCCAGAGGAGGTGGTGGAAGCAGTCACAGTAGCAGCATGCAAGAAGCACCTGGATGAATACATAAATAGGAAGGGAATAGGGATGCGGATCCTGTAAGCAAAGACAGTTTTAATATGGAGGGGCAAAATGTGTTGGCGCAGACTTGGAGGGCAGAAGGGCCTGTTCCTGTGCTGTATTGCTCTTTGTTGATATGGGTCACACCATTCAGGGCTGAGAGAAAGTGGAAAATAGCTCAAAGATGATGTATATTTCTTGACAGAACGCGGACTGGTTTTCTGAATCTGAATATTAAGTTTGGATTGAGTTAGAATCCTTGTTTCATAGGTCCCTCTTGCACTGACACGGTAGTCACAATACTGCAGCCGTCAATAAAACAGGTCTTACTCGAGGGGACTGTGACCTTAACCTGCATCGTGTCCAATTCTCCTCATGGAATCGACGTATCTTGGATTCAAGGAGAACGACACTTGAAGTCAGAGATTGCTGTCCAACTGGAAGAGGATCCTGGCAGCTGGATCAGCAGAATAAACATTTCAACAGAAGCATGGTTGAGTGGATCTGAGTTCTACTGTGTGGTGATGCATCAGGATCTGCCCAGACAACTAAGAGCCTCCATCCATAAGGAGGAAGGTGAGACCATGGCTGAAAAAAAAATACTGGTAACTTTATCTATTTCAGGTGTTCATCAGGTGCCACTATTCTCTTCAGCGCTTGTTTCAATAGAACAATTACGCAATTAGCAACTAAAACTCCTGGAGCCAGAAATTATGCATTTAGTACGAAGCAGTAAGGGAGAAAACAATAGGAGGACATGAAATTATAATGGATGAACGAGGGTTTTAAGGGGCTCTCGTGCAGCATGAGCAACAGCACACACAGGTTCGCTGAACAGAGTTGTTACATCCATACGTCTTTTCGTTTCATTACTTAAAAGTTATCAGTGAAGAGAATTGCGGGCAGCTGTTGTAGTCGGAAAGCAGACGGGTCCTAAACTTGAAAATAAAGCCCTAACCAGATGTCTGTTACGTTTAAGCACTAGTTTCACTTTTCCGAAAATTTGCCAGTTTATTGGCAGTTATTATATTTTTTTTCTGCAGTTAGTGATCTTCTGAAACCGTCCGTGTTTGTCCTCCTGCCCTCACCAGAAGAAGACTCTCACGAGTTCGTCTCTCTCAGCTGCTTAGTGAAACGTTTCTACCCCCGAGAGATTTTTGTCGAGTGGACCACCAATGACATACCAGTGAATCCCAGAAACTACAGAAACACCGAGGCGATGGCGGAGAACGGCAATAGTTCCTTCTTCATGTACAGCCTGTTATCTATACCAGCAGAGGAATGGGCCAGCGGTGCTTTTTATTCTTGTGTGGTGGGACATGAAGCAATTCCACTGAAAGTCATCCACAGAATGGTTAATAAATGCAGCGGTAAATCGAGTTTTGCAAATATTTCCCTTACATTTGTGGACAATGTCAATTTTTGTCAAACAGCTGTGCTCAATTGCGTTTGTAAATAATGTTACAGATCTTAAATAGTATCATCAGCAACAATAACAATAAAAGGCATTTTCTTCCAGTAATGTGTTAAATACACAATCGCTAAGTGGATCCCCCCCACCCGCCGTTTTGCGTGGGGCGTTCTTTTTTGCCTGAAATACCTGTTATATTAGTGTTTAGGTCTGTACAGGCGGCACTCCCATCTCAGGTATATGAGGGTTAAAGAAACGTTGAATGTCTTTCGTTACAAGATATATCAAAACAATTTTAACGGCTTCCTCCCTCAAAAGCTGAAATCCAAAAAGGCCACATTTGGACACACAATCACAATATATTTTGCATTTTTTTTTTAAATTCACTGGTGGGACTCATGCTCCATTGCCCATCCTGAGATGCTCTTGAGAACAGCTACATTCATGTGCTGCAGTGAGGCCTTTTAAGGGAAATCTTTTCACGTAGTGAAAGTGAAGAAATGGCGATACTTTTTTTCAAGTCAAGATGATGAGTCGCTTGGAGAGGAACTTGCAGTTGTAAGACAAAATATTTTAGCGCTCTCATACACATGCAACCGCAAATGCACATATTAGCGCGCACACGCACGTGTTAACCTGAAGCAGACAAGGAATATATCCACATTTTTTCACAAATACAGACACACGTGTACCCACAGACAGACATGAAAGCGCATGAAACTGAATCATTCATACGTGTGGGAAAATTCACTCACACAAAAACATGATCACCAAAGAAACATTTTTTATGAACTGATCCACACATACACAGAGAAGCAAAAGCAAGCGATTCCAAAACAAGAGACAAATGATACACAAATATCAAAACTCAATGACAAAGTTTCCAAACCAAGCATCGAAGAGTTTTTGAATGGACACTGTCCGCAAGAGCTGCCATTTGTCAACATTCATGGCAATATTATTTTTTTGAATTGTATATTCGCCCTACAAACCACGTTGTTAGAACTTTCCTGGTTCAATGCCCTTGATGATGCTCTCCACGTTTCCATTCAAGGAAATGCTGGGGACTCGGATCAAACCTTGGCTATGCCAAAGCTAGAGTATTCTATGCAGTTCTGGAACATATCACAGGAGGGATGTGATGACAGTGGAGAGGAAGAGAAGCAACTTATCAGGATGTTGTCTGGTCTCGAGAGTTTAAGTTATGAAGACAGACTGGATATAGTGGGGATGTTTTCCCTGGAACAGAGAAGATTGAAAGGTGACATAATTGAGATTGATAAAATTACGAGGGAGATCGAAAAAGTTAGACAGGAAGGGACGTTGGCCTTTGGCGGAGGAATCAATGATCAGAGAGCATAGATGTAAGATGAGGGACAGGAGGTTTACAGGTGTTGTGAGGGATTTTTTTTACCCCAAGAGGGTAGTGGTAATCTAGAACTCACTGTCTGTATGGTTGGTACAGGCAGAAAATCTCATAACATTTAAGAACTATTTAGATGCACACTTGCGACGCGAATGCAAACAAGGCTAGGGAAAAGAACCGGAAAATTGGCTTGAAATAGGTAGATGCTTATTTTTGACATGTTTAGACATGATGGGCTTTTTCTATGCCGCAGACCTCTATGACTCAAAAAACCTAACAATTGGCAATTCAAATCCAACATCTTAACCAACGCTAACTGATAACTTCTAAATAAACTTACAGATTTATGACTATAAAATATATTCGTATAATCATCAATATTTTAAAATTGTAGGCGCATCAGACGTTTCAAAATATGATCATGCTTGAGATTGAGGTGATACTTTCATACAGAGTCTGCCTGGGAACAAATGAAGGAAGTTGGTTATAGAATTGCATCAGAGGTACTTTGATAAATTATTAATTCAGTATAACATTAATTTTTTTCTTACTCACGGGATTTGGGCGCTTCTGGCTAGACCAGTATTCATTGCCCATCCCTAACTGGTCAGAGGGCAGTTAAGAATCAACCATATTGCCGTGGGTCTGGAGTCACATGTAGGCCAAGTCAGTTGAGAATAACAGATTTCCTTCCCTAAAGAACATTAGTGAAAAAGAGAGACAACAAGGTGCAGGGCTGGATGAACACAGCAGGCCAAGCAGCATCATAGGAGCAGA